TGGTTCCTTCATCCAGGTGCACAATATGAAAGCACATCAGTCCAGTTCATAGACAGGCTGCCTTGAATTCACTGTGAATGGAAAGTGAACTGCTACTGTATCATAATTCCAACTGGGAGGGGGTTCCTGAAAAACCCTGATGAGAGGAACCATGTTCAAAGAGCAAAGCTATTACAGCACCTGGAGATTAACTGTGTGGAGTCAGGGCCCAAAGTAAGTGTTTGGGTAGATGTGTGGGCACAGAGCCTAGCTCAGCTGTTCTGGAGATGAGTCTTGAAGAACAGGGATGAACAGTTCTGGAGAAAAGTATAAAAATGAACTAGAAGGAGGGACACAGAGTAAACAAATCTTCAGTGAGCATCAATGTGTATCAGCAAGCACCAGGTCAGAAAAGACACTAAACACCCACATTAACAGAGTGACTCCCACAGTAGAGGTGACACAGCTGCTGTCCTTTGCTGTTATGTCAGTTTTCTTGCAGCTGTAACAAAATATCTGACAGAAGCAAAGAAGGAAGAACTTACGTCGGCTCATGATTTGAAAGAGTGTTGACCACTGTGCTTCAGAAACACAGTGGAGCATCTCTGTGATGAGCGAGGGTGTGGTAGTGTATTTCACACTATGGCAGATCAGGATGCTGATAGAACCTTCTCATCCTACTCCCACATTTTGTATCGATGTCTTAAGATTCCCCAGCCTGTCAAGACAGTGGCAACATCTGGAGACCAAGAATTCAAACATATGACCCATGGAGACATTCTATAGCCAAACATCACTACTCACATGTTAACTCCATTGCTCACAGATGGAGTTTTGGTGTCAGAGAGAGAAGCTGTGCATAGGCCATGAGCACAAGCCATTTCTCAGCAAGATTAATCCAGACACAGTGTCTGCTGCTGAATATATGTCTAAGTGGCAGAGAACATGGTTTTGACATGGCACATCTTTCAAGGATGCATATCAGCTACAATATGACAAGTTGTTATACTGAACTCATTCCTATGAGCTAGTATCAACACCATTTTATGGTGGCTCATGGAAGTTCTAATTTATTGCTGTGAAATTTGCCCATAATAGTATTTCACACTAAGGAACTCACTGGCCTGCATAGCCACCAAATGTGCTGTATACCACACTAGCTTCTATGATGTGGTGTTAACAGATGTTATTACATGGAGTTCTGTTCCTATTATGTATGAGACACATAAAAGTATGGAAATGCAAGTGGCCCCTAAATCATCCTTCTCAGCATCTTGCAAGTAATTCCTGACTCTTTCCTCACTACGTTAGGTCCAGTGTGTCTACAGGTTCTCGTCAAAGGGGATAATGCTTCTATCAGAGGATGCAATGAAACTGCTACCAAGCCCAAAGCTACAGATGCTACTGTACCCTTTACTGTGCATGTGGACACATCTGATGAGGTCATAATAACCAGTGATGAGTGAGCTTTCTCATCAGAAAATGACATACGCTGCTGTACCACAAGGCTCGCAGCTGCATGCCTGGAACTTGGAAACCTGCATGGAATCATTAATCAAGAACAGCAAAACTACCGACCACAAACTGAAGGGGAATAATAACCAGAGGGCCCATCCCTCCCACATCTCTCAACAATCAAGAAAATACCCTATAGACATGACCACAGTCCAGTTCAATGGAGGCAATTCCCAGCTGATGTTCCCTCAATCCAGATGTGTCAAGTTGACAACTAAAACTATCTGGCATGTGCAGGAATCTGTCTCCTCTCTAGAGACAGGTTAAAAAATAAAACAAAAGATGAGGTGTGGAACTAAAATGGAGACTTTAAGAGGAGAGACACTGCACCGCTGATGCAGGCCCCACTGCAGTTTGTGGGGCGGGGATGGCGCACCTGGAGTCAGTTGTCCTGAGGAGCTTTGAGGAGGACTGTGGTGGGCCAGACCTCTGAAGACCACTGCTGCATCTGTTGTCTTCCCTGACATGGCTGGTATCTCTGCGGAGGAAAATCCAGCTTCTGGGGGATTTCTGGGTAGAGCTGGCTGCTGAGGCCACCCTGGCTGCTGCCATTGCTCTGATAAGGGCAGTCTAAGGAAACCATCACCAAACCATACTCTTTTGACCTTGCTTTCACAACTCCACTAGTTAATCCTCTTGGAAGAAAGCAATGGAAAATCAGGTGGAAAAACAGCCTGGAAAATGAAGTTTTTAGAGCTCAACCCTGAGCCCACAGAGCACAGAGCAGGGAGAGTGTTAGCTGAAGAAATATTGACAACTGTTTACTGCTAGATAATGAAAAACTGATCTTCCTAAAACAAGGGGCTCTAGATAGGATGACTAGACCTCGGTGGCACATCTGGGGACCCTGACTTGAGACAGTGGGGCCTTAACACAGATGACAGAGTATATGGGTTCCAATGGGGGGACTATAGGAGTGTGGCAGTGGGGACGGAGTTATAAAGGTGATTAAGATTGTTTGGGATATTCTTGGCACCTGTGTATGTCTATAAAGTCATCAGGTCGATTTCAGTGGTAATGTTTATCACCTCTACTAATTAACTTGATGTAAATTTTTATGCATCCTCCTCAAATATAATTCATTTTTAAAAATTTGTTGATTTCTTTTATGTGTATATCACACAGAACATCCCAAACCATCTTATTCAGCTACACACCCACTTCCCAGATGGCACCCTCCCATAGCCTCCCTCCCCCCACTAGAGCCCTTATACTCTGTTGTTGGGAAATCCTGCTGCTAGGGTTGTAGTCCTCCATGTCTGGATAGCTCTAAGGGGCTAGGTGCTATATGGAAGGACTCCCCTTCTCAGCAAGGGGCCTCCTGCTCTCTGCCTGACTTACCTGGAAAGTGCCAGCAAGCATGGATGCCTGACCTTATTTGGAACATGACCTTTGGCATAGTTACCTGGAGTAGAAACTACCCCCAGGTTTTTTCTACATGATAATCAGGCATTTCCCGGTAGACAGACGATAGGAGCCCACTGCCACATGTAAATAAAGCATACTATGAGCACCTATCAGCTGAAGCATTGGCTACTGCCCCCACACTATATTTTTCCTGACCCCCACTGAATAAATGGAG